GTCTGTTGAGCCATGCTGGTTTACCACATATTTTTTAGACTGAAGCCATCAATACTATGGCTTATTTGGTAAACTTGTCTCCTTGTAATGCAATAAGTTACAAAACTCTGTTTGAAATGTGGCATAAACGGAATGCTGATTACTCTTATCTTAAAGTGTTTGGATGTGATGCTTATGCACATGTTCCTAGGGAATCGAGGACTAAGCTCGATTCCAAGGCTATCAAGTGTATTTTTCTTGATTATTAGCGTGATGTCAAAGGATACCGGCTTTGGGATCCTGTAGGCGGTAAACTTATTGTTAGTAGAGATGTTTCTTTCAATGAGTCCAGATGATCAAAAGAGGGAAAGATTGTTAATCCTACTACTAACGAAGGCCAATTATCTTCCCCAAACACCATTGAGGGGAGATTTATCATGAAATTTTTCATGATGGGCCACAAGGAGGTGCTACACAAATGATGGGCGAGGCAGAAGAGCAAGATTTTGCTCTTGAAGAGGTCCATGAGGAGCAACACATAGCTGGTGAGCCACCACCTCAACCAACACACAATGATCAACCAAAGTCTTCAACTGCAAGACCAACACATGTTTGTCGTACGTTCGAAAGGTATGGTACCTGGTTTCGTACGGAACATGCTGTTAGAGACGAGGATCTACTTGTTGATGACTCAAGAGAAGCGTTGATCACGGAGGATGGAAGTCCGTCATCTTATGCTGAATCTCAATCAATCCCGGAGAAGCTTGATTGGGATGCAGCAATGCGAAAGGAGATGAAATCACTTCATGACAAAAATACTTGGGAACTCGTGGAGTTGCTCAATGGATCACGAGCTAAAGATTGCAAATGGGTCTACACGATGAAGTATGGATTCATTGATGCAGTTGAAAAAATCTTCAAGGTAAGATTGGTGGCCAAGGGCTTTGAACATCAGAATTGCATCGACTAAACTGAGGTTATTTCACCAGTTGCTAAGTTTTCAACTATATGCTTGTTGTGTGCACTTGTCACATTATTTGATTTATTCGATTTATTCCTCGACCAGATGGATGTTGTTACAGCCTTTTTACATGGAGAGTTGGACGAAATGATTTACATGAGACAACCGGAGGGTTTTTAGAAGAGAGGAAAGGAACGTTTGGTTTGTCGGTTGCTTAAATCCTTGTATGGACTTAAGCAAAGTCCCCGACAATGGAACAAACTTTTTGATGAGTTCATGCATACGCAGGATTTCATACAAAGTGCATATGACCCTTGTGTGTACATGAAGCGTGTTAGCAAGTTTTGGTTTGATATTACTCGTGTTGTATGTAGATGATATGCTTATTGCCGCTAAGGATAGGTCTTAGATTATTAAACTCAAAGTCTAGCTCAGTTCTGAGTTTAATATGAAAGACTTAGGTTCTGCTAAGCGTATACTAGGCATGGAGACCCAGAGGTACAAGTCATCAAGCAAACTTTGGTTGACACAGACACGGTATGCAGAGAAAGTACTTGCTAGGTTTAACATGTCAAATGCTAAAGCTGTAAATACTCCATTAGCTACACACTTTAAGCTTTCGGCAGCTTTATGTCCAATTGATGCAACTGCTAAAGGATTGATGTCTTCTATTCCTTATGAAAGTGCAGTTGGCAGTATTATGTATGTATGTAGTACGCACTAGACCTGATATAGCATATGCAGTTGGGAAAGTAAATAGGTACATGTCAAGTCCTGGACGAGAGCATTGGGAAGTTGTAAAGTGGATTATGAGGTATATCAAGGTTTCACTTGATACAAGATTATTGTTTGATGCTCGTTCAAACAATGCAAGTTCGCTCTTGGGGTATGTTGATGCTGATTATGGAGGAGATTTGGATAGGCGGAGATCAACAATTGGGTACGTTTTCACTCTTGCTGGTGGATGCATAAGTTGGTGATCTACACTTCAAAAATGTATTTATCAGTCGTCCACAGAAGCTGAATACGTTGCAGCAGCAGGGTCAACGAAGGAGACAATTTGGTTGAACAAGTTGGCCACTGAGATGGAGCTGTCACACAGTGATGTGAGTCTTTATTGTGACAGCGAGAGCGCACTTCATCTAGCATCGAACAATGTGGATGGTTTGGTAAAGCACATTGATATTCGATACCACTTTCAGACAAGCAGTGTCTGATAGTGCACTTAAGCTCATCAAAATTGATGGTAAGCTCAACCCTGCCGACACATTGACCAAAGTAATTCATTTGGAGATTTTTTCCAAGCATTGTGCAAAGTTGCAAATTCTGCATAGGGATAGTTAGTCTAGTAACTTTTGTACAAGTATTCTTCATCCGATTTTTTGCCGACTACGGCTTAATTCTAGTGAACTCTCGGCTATAGAGGAAAAGCGTGATTTAGCTATACTTTCTAGAACTTCTCGCAGAGATACATGTGGATTACATTAGTTACCTCTTCAAGACTTGAGTCAAAGGGGAGTTTGTTAGGTTAACTCTATCTTGAATTAACTCCAGTTAGTGGTAACCATGGTTAGGAAATTAACTGTGGTTAGGTTAAGTTAGGTGGGTTTAGTGTTTAGGGTTAACCCTAAACTCTAAACCCTATGTGCACCTTATCTCTTCTCGTATAGAATAGAGAAGGTGACTCTCTCTGCGTTCAGGATAGCATCAAGAGAGTGAACAGGTTAGAGTAGCGCTTGGCTATGGAGGCCGTGTAATCATCTGTGCTTTAGTGAAGTTATGCTCTTGCCCGTGGACGTAGCCTATGAAAGGTGAACCACGTTATCTCGGTGTTGTGACTGTCGTGGATGCTGGTCAATCTCGATGAGGGGGTCTTTCAATTTTCACAACAGTTAAATATTCTCATAGAGTTTTTCTTCAATTAAACCCCTTTTTTTTTTCAAAATTTGTATTGAATGTTCAATTCTCACCTTTCATTTGAAATCTTGAATTATCATCTGATACCATTTTTCATGTAAATATAATCACTTTTAGCTAGTTGAAACTGAACTTGAAAATATGATATCATTGTTCATGTAAATATAATCAATTTAGCTAACTAATATCTATTTTGTAAACATAACAGCTGGTATCAGATGTAAATATAATCATCTTTAGTTCATTAAGAGTTGAAATATAAATTACTTAAGATGAAAATACAATTAATCTGTAGTGGAAATCTATAATATTTTTTATTTGTCTTTCATAAATAGAGATTTGAATATTTGAATTAAGAATATAAAACAGATATCTTTTTGGGTTATAAGGATCATCCTTCATATCATAGATCTATGAGGCGGAAGATGTATGATTGGATGAGATCTTGTTTCCTGGTATTTAGAAGGTAGTATATATAATCTTTTGAGTGATATTTCTTCTCATATTTGAGTGTAAGAGTCAAATATAAAATCTCATTAAGACAAAACCATCCAACAATTATTGAGATTATATTCACAAGATATCTTTATTTTAAATTTCAATGTCACAAATAGATTTGTTAAATTTCTTATATAATGATAACTAACAAGACTCTATTCTAACAATGTATTATTTTTACTCTTGAAATACCCACAAGTACACTTTTTTCACAATCATGACATGACAAAGACATTACAATATAACCAAATGACGTTGAAAGGTTTATTGCATTAGCTACTACCCACGATTGTGATACTCAAAAAGCAACTGCTTAAATAATAGAAGTTTTATCTAAACCCAACCAACTGACCATATGTGCTCAAATATTGGGATCCATCTTAACGGCAGTACCTATGTTAATTTTTATTTGTTTATTAATATCAGTTCTTGTATTCTATGCAAGCACACGCCTATCTAACTAGTGATGCGGCAAAGGAAACAATAAGTATCTGCAGCAATGATTGGTGCAATCCGTAGTATATAATCATGTCAAATCATACTATATATAACATAGATCTTTATCCCAAAATAGCTTAATATCTTAGATGAAATATAATATACCAATTTAATTCTACTGAGATTTTTGTTTCCGATGGCGGCCATCGAGTGTTTTTTCCCTTCTCCAATGGGTTGGTTTCCTCGATGTATAACTTGATTGATTGTTCCCATCCTTTTTGCCAGATTGCTAAGCTCTCCACAAGCTTAATGATTGAAGGTACTCTTCTGGGCCGACGGGAAAGCCAAGATTATCCTACTTTCCTTCTCGGCAAGAATAACTTTCCTACGTGTGTTTTGCAAGTAGCTACACACTTATTGCATGGAATGTTGAGAATATACATATTTATTTGATGCAAACTTGTTAGTAATTGAAGATGTAAACCATTTATTACGATATTCTCAATCTCTTCAGGTTGGTAAAACATCTTGAAGAAACAAATCCTTTGCTCACTTTCACCTGTAAAGGACACACATGGATTTGTGGAATTGTCCCGAAATGGCAATATATCTACATGAGCTCATTGGGATCCGAAGCTTCTGGCCAAGAAGGATTCATACTTCTCGAAAGCTGCACAAATTTTACAGTACAAGACTGAACTTGTACCATCCGACACAGGAATTAGCCAGAACAACCACAGTACAGAGAAAAGTGCTGGTCAGAAGACCTGCGTTGCGTACAGTCTACACAATTATAAACGGGAAAATGTACACCGAGTGAAATCCTTCAATGGGAACAGGGTGAAAGGTGTAAACACATGTGCTGGAATACTAAAACTGCTGCTTGCGATAAGGCTGTTCTAAAACACGACATCACGAAGTTATCTAAAAATGCGTATGAGAAATATGAAACCCTGCGAGGCTACGAGAAACGTAGGCCTCCCCTATTGTAGACCCGAAAACAACAGACCTGAAAAGGTTCAGCTTTTGGTGTACAAACGAATGGAATTGCAGGATTATCTACTCATGAGACACACTAGATGCCAGAGGTAGACACGACACTCCACTGGGGTCACATTGAACATGTGCAGGCCCGAACGAAAAGACCGAAAGTTCTCTGCCCGTCCACTCCCCGTTGACTCTGCTCCTTGCCTTCTCTGGGAGCCATCCATCTTCTGGTAACGCAGTACGTGCTGCTCGGTTGCAGAATTTTCCAAATCAGGGAGCCCGCGCGCGCTGTCATTTCGGGCATTTCGTCCTATCTGAATGTCAACATACATTCCATACTGGGTACGGCATCCTTCTGCCATAGTTGCACGCATCGGGCTCATTCAACAGACCCTGTTGGCGCCTGTCCCGTGGGTGGGCAGCCTCACCGGAACAAATGCAAATGCAAATGCAACCGCAACCAACAACCAGCAACCGACGAGGACAGAAGCCGGGCAGAGAGGGGAGTCGCGGCATATAACGGCGCCTCACGAGCTCTGAGGCTGGTCGATCTCGACAGGCAGGGGTCGGAATGGACATGAGTGAAACGTGTGGCGATTGCGCAGATTCCAGTGAGAGCTTAATCGGTCCAAGACGTGAGAGAGACGTGACGCTCGGAGAATATAATATTGCAGCCGTAATGGAGCTCGGGCGGAACGCCTGAGTCCGAATTGCCCTTGCCTTGTGCCCGGGGATATCACTGCGATGGTCTACTTCGGCGCCACGAACTCTACGCTCGGATCGAGCAGTGCGAAAGGACGAGCGTAGGCGGAAGGCCTGGAGGGGTGCAGCAGGTGCTTATGGATGCTGCAGCAGCGTCGAAGGGTCGACGCCCGCAGATTAGCACTATATACGAGAATCTGGTGTTTTGTCGACACTAGCTCCCACCACTCGGCGGCGACGGCAGCTCCATCTCCCCCTCGCTTCTCCACCTGCAATCGGTAAGCGCAGCGCAAGCCACCGGTAGCAGTTGAATATACAAATCCGATGAGCCACCTTTGAGTGTTGGGGTCAATGACTGCTCGCGCTCAGCCTCATGAGGATGTTTGAGCCTCGAGCCCGGAGCCCTGACCACCTTTGTGGTAGGCCACAAACTCGCCTGTACATTGAGAAGGGTCGGGTTCGAGGCCTCCCTGCACTATTTTTGACTTGCAATGCAAACAATGCCACCCGCTTCGTGGTTGCCGAGCATTTCGAGGTTAACTTTAAGCTGAGGTTGCACCTACTTGCTCGCTTGAGGTTGTGAAGCAGCACTAGGTCATTCCCGAGCCGACGAAATTTTTGACTCGTACAATCTCCCGTTGTGGGCTCAGCACGAATCTCGGGAATTAATGAAAAGAACCAGCTCTCTGTCTCTCTGTCTGTCTGTGTCTCTATGAACCTTGAGGGGCGTAGATGATAGAAGAGAAGTCGCTATGAGTAGTGAGAAGGATACAAGAAGGTAATTTTAGGCCTTCAGCGACATTCTGTCAATCATCAGCGCACATTAGCCGGCAGTTCCTGCTTTAGTCACCGTCGTGGTTCGAAGTCAAAACAGTCGGTGTTTGGTTTTGTATCCCGTGTCCCTTATCTGGACTGAATCTGTAGACAGTCTGTTTACGCTCTCGGAATCAACATCCAGATGCTGACAAGCCCTTCCTCTTGCAGTGGCGCATCAGTGAAGTCGCGATTCCGGTGAGGGTGGCCGTCAATCTGGACTGGACGACATGACGATTGGACCCGGAGAGGAGGTGCCACGATCTTTCACGGGACGCACAGCAGCTACTGAAGGTAGCTCCAGCAGCTTGGGGACTATATGTACAGGTCCGTCTCGCCGTCCCAAACCCCCTCTGGTTTAAGAAGCTCGTGTATACTTCACAACTTACACAAGCGGCAATCTCCCAGATGAATCATATATAGTGCTCAGGACAGTGTCTCCGGAAGAAAGCTTGGCAGTACTTGCCCTTACAACCTACGCAAATTGCAGTCCAGCGTTTGAGACTGAAAAAATTGAGCGAGCAGTTCAATTGATTTCTCGTACACTCTCGCAGCTGTAAGCGAAGCGGCACCAAGTGCTCAATCTTGGCCAATTCGAGCCGCGAGGGACAGGAATGAGGCCGGGAACACGGCAGGAATCGCTGCCGCTGTTGAAGGTGTGGATGAGAAAGACGAAGAAGGACGCGAAGTGGCTGGGATCAAAAGGGCGCGCTTTTCCGTGCGATGTCACGAGGAGGACACGCCGTGGAGCAAGCTAGAGGAGGAGTTACAGGAAAAGATAATTTCCAGGCTACCCATAACTTCCTTGTACCGGGCACTCATGTCGTCGAAAGCGTGGTTAGAGAAACTGAACAGCCGCATATTCCAGAGAGAAATCAGCACTGCGGCCAGCAAGTGGCCAGTTTTCTGCCCACTGCATGTGAACAACAAGGGGCTCATCGGCTACGACAACGACTCGCTTCAGTGGAGCAAGCTGTTCTCGTTCCAACACATCCCCGCCGGCGCCGATCGGCCGGCCCTTGAGCTGTGCAGCGGGGCGGGCTCGTTAATCTGCTTTGCCAGGAACAAGACATGCCAAAAGAAAGGCATGAGCTGGGTCAAAGAGCTGGGCATCAAGGAAGGGGGAATTGCCGACATGAAGCAGATGGCCTTCTTCCGGCGGAAGGACTACTGGGTGCGCAATTCCCGAATGTCCATGGCCTTGTTAGAGCAGGAGTTTGACATTTACGTGACGAATGTGCTTACCAAGCAGTGGAGGCTGCTGACGCCTCGTCCCAAAATGCAGCGCCCTCACATTATACACATGACGAGAACAAAATCCGGAGGGTACAGCGTGATTCTTCTCACGCGAATAGAGCTCGAAGGTCACGTCTCGAGTTCTCTAGCCTCAGTGTGTGCGCAGATCTACGACTCGGCCTCGGACTCGTGGACGGTGGACAGCGCCATAACCTCGCACTTCCAGATGAGAAACTCGCTGTTCGCTTACTCCGACAACACCATTTACATCATGTGCTTGAACACTTGCAAGGCGTATAATCTGGAGCACAGAAAATGGAACGACATTCCGCTCCCGGAAGCTGCTGTATCCGTGGCTATGGCCCAAATGCATTCGGGAGTCGTCGTGTGTAACTCCAGTGTCATGTTAGTCATGGCGTGGAACGGTGTCTACGCTCCAGGCCATCCCGTGAAAGCTTCCTCGAATTCGAAGGCGAGCGCTGAGGTCGTTGTGTACAACCTGGATCAGAGTCTGCAAGAATTCGTACAGGTTTCGAGGGGCCCCCCCGACCTGATGAAGGAAGCATCGGAAGCATACATCGACGTGATCGCCGGGCATGGTGACTACATTTACTTCGGCAGCAGATACGTCCCGGGAAGCCCCGTTCTCAAGTACAATATCCGCTCGCAGCAATGGAGCTCCTTCCCTCCTGCCTTCAAGACTGCGAGCTTTCACGACTCTCTTGAGAATCTTCACTGGGCGAATTTTGCATTTCAACCAGGACTACACCCTTTTGCAGAGGTCTAGCCTGCGCGGTTTGTCGATAGGACGTGATATTCGCTCGTGCCAGGGTCGCCATGGATCAATGTCGGTTCTGCTCCGTATAGATTACCATGAGGATAGGAATGTTGGTGCTTCTTCGTTCTCTGACAAGAATATGCCCACCGGAGTAGATGAGGGGATTCTTGACCTTAGATGAGACAGCCCAGTGATTATTCAGATGTATATTTCTGACAGAGGAGAAGTTTACGTGGCTGTTCTGGTTCTTACAAGTTTTCCCGTTCCTACAAGTTCTCGTCCCGATATTGGCTGGTGATTTCAGGGCAAAAGCACTGGGTACAACAATTTCTGTTCGGAAAGTCCGGCTTCCATCATCTTCCTCTACGTTGTGATTTGCTCCAGTCTTACCGTGTGGGCCAATTCTCTTAAATGTCTGCTGCCTGTTCATCTTGCATCAAAGCTACATCGTGCTTTTGGCGCGACAGTCCCTCGACGGGCATTCTGACAGTCGAGCTTCCGATTAGCCTTCGAGTTTTACGTCGACTTGATCAAGCAGGGAGTTAATTAGTGACAAATATATCTCATAGGCGCTTGATCCTGGAGTTGATATGGATACTTCTAGAAGACCGGGGCTTCATAATCGATCGACGCCATGGGCAACAACATTCTTGGGTCTCCTATATCGCCTGGGGTCGAGGCGAATTCTGAGTATCTCTTCAGATCAACCTTCACAATCCCCACGAAGGATCTGATCATGACTACACCATGCTGTTGGTAATACCAGTCGCGTCGCGTTCCCATTTCATGGACGATCGTGAAGCTCAGAAGTCCGCGTTTGCTGTTTCCTTCATTAGTGACATTCACGGCCCGTCCTGATCACCAGAAGCATTTCTCTATTACTTGTTTAGATTAATAAATAGATAAATTTGGGTTACTTTAGTCGATGGGTTGTTCTCCTCGGCGAGTATTAAGACCTTATGAACTAGATATTTGGGGGTAAGGTGGGCCCAAGACCCATTTTTTTGCTAGCTTACTCCTGAAATATAGTCTCAAGAAAAAAACTAAAATAAAATTGGGGATATTGACTTGTACAGACCCCAGAACCTCAAACCGATCCTCAAGTTTCAAAATGTCTTGTTTGGACCACGCTCCGCTCGGGGGCAACAGTCAAGCGCAGGTCGCTTCTCATTGTACCTGGATAAGGCATTTGATGTAATAACAATCTTTCTCGTTTTGTAATCTAGATATTATGCAGCAACAGCTGGGGTTGCAGTGACATGTCCCAGTCTATACTTGATTCTCAAGATCACTCGGCAGTCATCGGGGAATGTGTCGAAAAGATTGGACAATTGACGAGGCTCTGGAGAGCAGATTGACTTATGTGCTGGAACAGAGAAGCAAAGAAAAGACAGAGAGACAAGACAAATGTCACTTCGTATGAAGGATCAATCTGAGAAGTGGAAATGCGAATCTCATGCAGTTTTCTGACGATGATGAGGCGTACATCTTTCGGGCCGATCGTGGAGGAGCTGAAACGCTTGGACCTTGGCAGCGATGGAGGGAGGACAAGATCGAAATTGCCGTGAAGGCATCAAATTTTCTTGGACAGCAGACTTTTGAGATACTCGAGATGGAGGCAAAGAGAACAGAGATGGACGCATGCCTCGGAAGTCTTGATGAATTAGAGTTCTCGATCGATTGTTGGAGTATCTTCAGGGGAAGAATAAACCGTCACTACAAGTCAGAATGAAATATGAGTTTCGAACCTGCATCTATGGATGACCATAAGGAGAGAACAGGGGAGAAGATAATCTACGATGCTTTGTGTGATGCAGCACTACGCACCACTTGGAGCATCGTAGCTTTGATCAGTTTGTGCAGCGAAGGAAAGCTCACACTTTGAAGGGATAATAGATTTAAACGAGGCCGCCGACATAAAAGTTGATGCTGATTTTGAACCACCCCATGTGCCGAGGATAGAGCGACGACATGGCGGAAGGGAGGCTGTGGTGAGGGAAGAAGGCAAGAATGTGCATGCCCGTACAGAGCTTTTGAAACCTGCAAATGATTTCGTTCTGAGTGGCGGGCAAGGTATAAACCATTGTAGGCAAGCTAGAACATACGTCACCTATATTGGATCGTGTTTGGAGAGACCCCAGGAAAAAATCGCATCCCTGGAGTGCTACCATCCAGTCGAGTTTCTCCCAACTGCGATATTCACGTGAAAACTCTTGCAGCTGATTTTCAGCCACCCTTTAATAATCTACTAATTACATGCACTTGCATCGAGCCGGCGATAAGCTTTGGAATTGGATAGAAAAGGACACGTATGGTAGTATAACGGGATTTCGGCCCTGTGAATAAGAAGTGTAGATGCAGGCGTTGTCCAGATCTACTATAAGATATGGCCCGGGCAAAACATTCTCCACAGATACCTATGCCATATTCATACTACAAGACATGCAATGATGGTTGCACAATCTGTAGTCTGCCTTGACGTATGAAATCGAAGAATATAAAGTACACTTCTGAGATGTTCAATGTCAGGTGATGGAAACAACAAGACGATGCTATTGTATTATGTGATTGCTCAGGCAGAGTGCACACATAATGTAGTTGATTTTGTAAGCTTATGGATGCATTCATTTTATTTGTGTTGAGTGATTACTCAGGAAGTGGATGGATACCAGGTATTGGATTATAAACTTATGGACGCAACCATTTCAGTGTTACATGGTCCAAAGCAGATGTATTTGTTCAATCGTCAAAATGATCTGATAGCAGAATTTGAGATCCACTTTCTCAGACACAATACATTGGCATTGCGAGCAACACATGCGTCAACAAGATAACCAAAATTTGCTGAAGAGCCTTTATGGGGTCGGGTCGTGTGTATAGAAACCGAAACCAAATACTCCTCTTGTACTTGCATTTCAGAATTCAATATTCCTATGATTGTACAACAGAAACGAAGTGGATTGGAAGCTTCAGTTGGAAATATAAAAATTGCATGAATGGAACATTCTATTGAAAATGAATTTTGTTCAAATTAAACAAAAAATTTTAATAGAATTGAAAAAAGCGAAGAGATATTTGACGAAAATTACAATCGAAGAGAAATGACAGGATGAGTTCAGCGGTGCTCGATTTAGATACCAGGATACTTAGGAGACGAAAAAGAATTTTTTTTTTCTATGTTGGTGATTGTTTGCTTCTATTTATGATGTTGTAGGCTTATGCAGCCCATCTACAAACTCTTTATATAACGCGTATCGTGGTTCTTATGTGAGTCACGATCGTCTTAGGTAGTGGTCAGCATTTTGAATATCGTTGGGAGTTTCTAAACATCTTGAAATGGGCAAGGGACTAAGCTTTGAATAAGGATTTGTTAAATATAACGAACTCAGACCCTTTCTACGCCCACTCAGAAAGCAGTGTGGAAGCAATCGGAAGACTTATGAGTGTAGTATATTGATGGTTGATCTAGAGTTTCAAGATATTATCAAATTTTTTATTGGGCAATTACCGCAGAGTTCATCCAAGTCATCTTATGTAGAGTTGGGACGGTAAATAATTCACGATCATTGAAAAGACTTGATCGGGCACTTGGGATAATTTTTGATAAATTGGGAGGGTGAAGTATCATAGTACTTTCTTAAAGCGTGATCAATAATATGTTCAAGCAACTGAAGCATGACAGTCTTTTACAGTAAGGGTTTCATTCTTCAGTTTTCAGATTCAAGGTCACCATGATTTTCTTGCGCGCTTAAGAGCACGAGGATATGGAAGTGGCAAACAACATCAAGTCCTTGACGTTAAACTTTTGGCTAGACATGCTTCTCGAAAGTGTTTGAATGTGGCACTTCATGACAAACTTAACTCACTCATGTTCACCATGAAACTATATGTGTGCATGTCTCATCACAAATCATGATGCAGTTTTCAATATATGTATGAGGAATAGTTTTGCAAGCTGATATCTAGTCAAAGATCGTATTCTTGTTCTCTTTGGTTTGTTGTAAAAATTTCTGATATTGAGAATATTGATAATATTATTGAATTATGATAAAAATTTCTAGATTACAATTTTGATTATAATAATAAATTTATATATAATAATTTTCAATGCTTAAAAAATTCAATGGAATTAGAATAGAAATCAATCATGAATCAAGACATTTAGATCATGAATCTTACGTTTCTGAAAATAAATATTTCAAATTTTTTTAGACATAAAAAAAATAAAGCAAAATAAAAAATCAAATATCATTTTTATACTTTATTTCTTTGATTTTTATAATATTATGATTTCTTGAGCAAATTACAATTTTTATTGTTACAATAAATCACTATATTATTTTTCTTATTTCAAAAAAAATTCCATCGAATTAAAATAGAAATCAATCATGAATCAAGACATTTAGATCATGAATTTTCCATTTTTTTATATGAAAAACTCCATTTTCTTAATAAAATTTTTAAAATTGAGCAAGATACAATTTTAAATCTCATTTTTTAATTTTATTTCTTTGATTTTTATGATATGATGATTTATTGACTAAACTGCATGTTTTTTTTGTCAAAATTTTTGATTGTTTCTCAAATTTTGATTAATGAAAAAATTAATTTTTGGAAAATTTGAAATTATTTTATTATTACAATTGGAAAATTTTATTGTAATTTTTTTTTCTATTGTGAGGATCATTTCTATTTTCTAATCTGAAATCTGAAATATAATATATATATATATATATATACATACTTCAAATATTATCAATCTACACATCTTAGAATCTTAAAAGCTCATTTCATAACTTAGTTTAAAGTTTCAATGATGCTCTCTTGGCTCATATTACTCAACGTATTTCGGATAAGAATTATGTCAGTTTGATGTATCACTTGCTTCATAGGACTGAATTACAAATTATGTGCAGACTTAACAACAAATATTTGCAATAAAGACATCGAATGTTTATTACAATCAAATGTTACATTCATGTTACATTACATACATTCATGTTTCATTCTAACTATGTTTCTTAATGACTTAATATTAATCATATGCTTTTTTTATCAGAAAAGTATTATTCTAGATTAATCATGTGTATTTGGATCTAAATTAAACTCTATGTGTAACCTTGAACAAGATAACATGTTTTGAAAGCTTATCAGAACTAATTCACATGTGAGAACCTCACTCATGCGCGACATTGTTCTAATATTGTATGACATGGCATCGAGCCTGGTTTGAATATAATAATTTGCACATGAGGCTCAGTTATAATTGATGTGTGATTAAAGTAAGCATATATCCTGTCTATGAAACAATAATTTTATTTAGAAATATATTGCAATTCACTTGCTTGAAGAAGTTGAAGCTCAAAAGATGTAAGAAGATACAAATTTACCTTCATTGTCATATTATTTATCCAATTTTACAATGTTTGTTATTAATTTCAGAGATTAATCAATATAGAAACAGTTTTTGACACCAAATTGCATCTCTTGAATTTTAATTAATCATAGAGACGGTCGTCTTGACCTGTTTGTAAAATGTTATCAATTTTATCCTAATAGACAACATGAAATGTTACATTGATTTGTTATATTATTTATGTTAAATTTCATATGTATTGCTCTACACATATTATTAATGATGTATGTATGTATACAATCGTATGTAACTCTATTGTATCATGATTCTATTATGTTGGTATTGCAGGTTTGCAAATAATGATTGAAATACGTTGGCAGCAATATAAATATTTCTCATTGTGGTCTAGCCCATGCTAACCGTCAGGTTAAATCTTTATAGGGCTTGACGTGTTCTTCCTTGCCTATTTGCTACTTTAGTTGGCCCATGTTTGTTACTGCTCGGAGTGGCGTCCGCAACATGGTAGTGATTATGATAACCATGTCCTCACTAGACTGCAGTCAGACGCCTCATCACGTCCGGTATTGACATCTTCACGCAGTTTGTAATGCAATCTTTTCACTATAACAACGTCACGGGGAGCAGTTCACTTGACTCACGCGTGCAAATGGGGTCAGTTCCATAAATTATTTTTCTTAGGGGTCGATTTGGGACTAAGGACACGACAACTTTAACCATCTCCAAGTTCGATTGGTCTCGATAATCAAGTCGCCACACGTTCACCATAGAATGCGACCTGGCTCCGTCGGTGGAGACCCAACACTCTCTCGGTGATTACTTCAAGCTCACGGGTTTTTCTGTGTGTGTTTAGCTTTACGAAA